AAAATAGTATACATACTTCTGGAATACCCCCTCCACATCCAGTTGCTAAGGTGTTATATTAGGGTGATGACTTTGGCATAACTGAAAAGTTGGCAGTTCGAAACCACCCAGAGCTGCCTTGGAAGAAAGGCCTGGTGACTGGTTTCTGAAAGGTCACAGCCCTGAAAACCCTGGGGAGCAGTTCTGCTCTGAAACATATGCAACCATCATGAGCTGCAGTCGATTGAATGGCAACTGGTTTGGTTTTTGGTTTTTCAATGAACGAATAAACGAAAACCAAACCCACGGCCACCTAGTCAGAGTGACCCAATAGGACAAAATAGCACTGGCCCCTAGAGTTTCCGAGGCTGTCAATCTTTACAGAACCAGACTGCCTTCGAACCACTGACCTTTTGGTTAGCAGCTGAGTGCTTTACCCACCATGCCACCAGAGCTCCCCCATGAAACGATATGGATGTGCTGTTATTAATGGAAGTCCATACTTCATTCAGATCATTCACATAGCTTGCCCCATCCAGGATCCCACAGTACGTTTTGTTGTCATGTCTCCTTAGTCTTCTCATAGCTGTGACATGTCTCAGAGTGTCCTTGCTTTGAAACATGACAATTTTTTTAGGGGGGGCTGTGGTGGTCATGGGTTTTGTAGACTATCCCTCAGTGGGATTTGTCTGTTGACCTTCTGGTGGTTAGACCAGGGTTGTGGGTTGGGGAGGAAGACCCGAGAGGTGAGGTGCTACTCTCATCACATGGTCTCAGCGTGATTTACCCCTGTTGATGTTGGCCTTGACCACCTGGCTGAAGTGTGTGGTCAGGTGTCTCCACTGTGGAGGGGGCCTCCCCTCCCCACATTGAGCTCTCTGGGAAGTCACTATGTGTGATTTACAAGTGATGGGACGGAGGTCGGGCTCCAGCTCTTTGTACGGAGACTTGCCTGTTCTGGTAGCCACCTTTTCTATATATGTTGTCATGTGCACACTTCCGCAGGGTTGATATTATCATCTCTCATTGTATAGATGAGGAACAGACTCCATGAGGTTGATTCATCTGCCCAGGGTCACCCAGATTTTAAGTAGCAGGCCTAGGACTTGAACCAGGGAGATCTCTGGCTGGCCTGTTGCTTAATCAGCACTGAATCCATTTCCAGGCAGACTTCACCCAGTCCCTGAGTCACGTGGGCCCTTCTCACAGGCAGGCTCAGGGTCACCAGGCAGACGTTCTTGGAGTCTCTATGGAGAGCCCACTTTGTAAAAGAACTTCTGAGAACTTCAACTGGAAACAAATCCTATCCCATAAGGTCTAAGCTGGAATCAGCTCAGACTAGATTCCAATATGGCACACATCCCATTAATGGCTGTGATCTTTTGGAAATAGTTCACTAGGCCTTTCTTCCAAGTGCCTCTGGGTAGAATTGAACTACCAGCCTTTTGGTTAGGAGTGAGTGCTTAACTATTAGAGCCACCCAGGGACTCCTAGGGTACATGTTAGGGCTGGATTCTGCCAGGAAGATGTTTGTATTGTGTAGCTATCACAAGAGAAAAACAAAGCTCCCTTCGAACGCTTGTCACAATACGCACAACAGACCTGGATGAGGGCGGTTTGCTTTATGCATTTTCCATATTTCCTCCCTCATCTGTTCACAGTGGGCAGGACACATTTGTGCTGAGGACGGCCTGCTGAAAATTGCAATGGCCACGCTAGTTCATAGTTTTAAAGAAATGGCTCTAAACGAATTACAATTAGTTTCAGCCACAACCCCAGCTAAGTCTAACTGATACGTGCAGCAGTCACACATTCAAGTGGGCAAAAACCAAACTGAGATCAAAGGCCCTCCATTCCCTGACCCTTTAGAGCCATTCAGCTGCCCCAGGCACCTGCCAACTGGCATTAGGCATTATTTTCCCCCTGCCCAGACCCCAGCTTCACACAGTAGGTGGTGAGAGAAGTCAGAGGGTGCCACTGAGGCAGTATCTATCAGGCTGGTTGGAAACTGTGAGTCACAGAGCTAAGGTGTCTCACCCACTGGTTTTCTGCTTGTTAACCTTGCAAGAGTCGGGCATCAGTGTTTCCTGTCCGAGAGCCCCATATTTCATGTGGCAATGTCTGCTGTGAATTCAGGATGTGGGCAGACAAGTGTTTCCAGAACTGTCGGCGCTCTGACTTTTGCTGTTTCTTTGATTGATGAAAGGTTGATGAGAAGCAAATTCACAGGATTTATTGTTGCTTGGGCAGAGCCTGGAGGAGCTGCGTGTCCTTTGGAATGGGGCAATGGATTCCAGCCTAGACCTCTGTATCCATCAGGGTTTGGGTGGGAAGACAGAGCCACCCTTCACAAGGTTGTTGTTGGGTCCTGCTGAATCGATGTCAACTCATAGTGGCCCCACGAGGCAGTAGGACTGCCCCATAGAGTTTGCTGGGCTGTAATCTTTACAGGAGCAAATTGCCAAATCTTTCTCCCACGGAGTCACTGTGTGGACTCAAACTGCTAACCTTTCAGTTAGCAGCTGAGTGCACAGACATTGTGCCACCACGGCTCCTTGCCTTCTGTATTGGGAGAGGTTGATATTGGACTTGTACAACCGTGGAAAGGGTAGGGGAGCGAAGGCCAGGGATGCCGCCGTGACCTGGAGGAGGTCTCGCCACAGCAGGGAAGCCTGTGGTTCTCAAGCTCACTCAGCCCTGCTCTGACCTCACAGGGCATGATGGGCGATTCTCAGGGAGCAACTGGGAGCTGCCTCAACCTCATGCCCCTGTCTGCAGGAGCCTCACGAGAGCTTTTCTCCCACTTCTCACATTTCACCCAAGTGCTGCTCTGGACACCGTGCAACCTGAATCCATGGGGGTGGGGGGTGGGGGTAGATTCTGGGACCTGTGGGCCCTGGTTCCCCTGGAGAAGGGAGAGGAGGGAAGTTAACATCACAGAGAACGTCAGATGTCCACCACAATGTCCCAGACCTGCTCTGATGGTGGGGGTTGGAAAGGAACCAGTGTGTGGGAGCGGGCCTGCATGGAGGGGGTTCAGAGGCATGTAAGGATCAGGACGGCTGCCCAGCACCTCGAGCCAGTCTAGGGGCAAGGTGTCCTGCACCTCCAGCCAGCCTGGGGGAGGGGGTGGGAGTGCTGACCTGTGCGGACAGCTCACATTCCCCAGAGTGTGTTGGGGGGCTACGGCTAGGATGGAGGCGGCAGCTCAGGGGAGGGGTGGGGGTGCAGGGGATGAAGGGAAGGCGTAAGGGGTAGAGAAGCTGTCTTCCCCCCAGTGAGGCAGTGAAGCCTGTGGCCTCGAGGACAGTGGTTCTTAACCACGGTGCTTTTGCTCCCCCAGGATGCTCGGAAATGTCTACAAACCTTCCTTGTCACAGCTGGGTGGCGGGGGCTACTGGCATCTAATGCTAGACGTCCTGCAATGCACAGGACAGCCCTGCAACAGGGATAACCCGGGTCCTGATGTCCCTGGGGCTGCTCCTGAGAACCCTGCCCGGCCCCGGGGGACTGAAGTGGGAAAGGCGGTGTCATTTCACACAAGAACTAACAAATGTGCTGAGGCCTCAGGCAGCACGGGCAGTGTCCTTGTTGTGGCCCAGGAGCTCGGTTTGGGGGCCTTTCCCACACCATTCGGTTTTCTGTGGGTGAGCCCGAGAACTTGGGGCACATGCTTTTCACTCAGATCTCCCTGTGCCGCCGCAGAGGGTCTCTGGATTTGGGTGGTCCCTGTGGGGTGAGCAGAAACCAGATCCAGCAGGTGCAGGTTCCAGCGAAGTGAGGAGGGGGAGCACCCAACATTCTCGAGGGAATGACCCCGAGTGAGGCTGATGGCTCGTGTATTGGTGGCTGGGTGTGCATGTGTTGGTGTGTGTCTGTGTGTGAGCCTGAGTGTCTGTGTATGTATGATGTCTGTGTGTGTGGTGTGAATCTGTGTGTAGTGTGTGTGGGGGGTGTGTATCTGTGTATGGTGTGAAACTGTGGGTGTGGTGTGTGTCTCTGTGTGTGGTATGTATCCGTGTGGTGTGTATCTGTGTGTGTATGTCTGTGGTGTGTATCTGTGTGTATGGTGTGCATCTGTGTCTGTGGTGTGTGTCTGTGTGTGTGGTGTGTATCTGTGTGTCTGTGTGGTGTGTATCTGTGTGTGTCTGTGGTGTGTGTCCGTGTGTGTGGTATGTATCTGTGTGGTGTGTATCTGTGTGTGGGGTGTGTGTGTGGTGTGTATCTGTGTGATGTGCATCTGTGTGTCTGTGTGTGGTGTGTGTCTGTGTGTACCTGTGTATCTGTGTCTGTTTGTGTGGTGTGTGTGTCTGTGTGTGGTATGTATCTGTGTGTGTGTGTGGTGTGTGCCTGCGTACCTGTCTGTGTCATGTGTGTTTTTGACACTTCCAAGCCTGCCTGCTAACAGGGATGTCGGCATGAATTGGCAGTACCCCCTTGCTCCTATGTGGCCTGTTTCTTCCCGGAAGCTCAGAACTCGGGGCACTTGGAATGGTTTTGAAACTCTTCTGCGGATTTGCACCTGTCTGCATCAGCAGCAAGGACTCAGTCCCCATCAGCCGGTGTCTGCAGGGTGCCACCGCGCGGCCCCCACTCTCCCTCCTAAAATAGGAGCTCTGGTAGCATAGTGCTTAAGGCACTTGACTGCTAACCAGAAGGCTGGCGGTTCAAACCCACCAGCCACTCCTCGGAAGGAAGGTTGGGCATTCCTACTTCCATAGTGATACTGCTTCGGAAACCCAAGGAGGGGTCGCTATGAGTCGGGCCGACTCGATGGCAAATAACAACAACTTAACGGGTGGATGCGAGAGCTGATCCCAGTGGGTCTGCCGAGGGACCCAGAAACGGCAGCGCCGGGTCTCCGCGCTTCCCGAGCTCGGCGACAATCATTTCCCGGTCCGAGGGGAAGACAGACCCACGCAGAGTGCTGCCCCTAGAGGCGGATGAAGCACTGTGTATTCGTGCAGGAAGGCGTTTCCGTTGGCGTGTGTACCCATGCGCGTGTGCAATTCTCTTTGCAGGGCACGCCGCCATCACCAACTACTTGTTGAACTATTTCCCTGGCCTTGACCTGGAGAGGAGGAACGTATTTGGGTTCACAGCGCTAATGAAAGCCGCCATGCAGGGCCGAACCGAGTGCATCCGAGCCCTGATGCTGGGAGGTAGGTCGGAACCGCTTTTGGCCTGGGACCCGCCCCGCCAGAGGCAACCCCGGCGGAGCCACGCCCCCACCAGAGCCACATCCGGGAAGAGCCACACCCCCCCAGAAAGTCCCTGACAGAGCGCCGCCCCGCAAAGCCACCCCGCCAGAACTCTGCCCAGTCAGAGCCAAGCCTTGTCCGAGCCACGCCCCCTCCAGGGCCACACCTCCATTGGGGCCCAAACCCTGAGGTCCTCTGTAGGCTCCGTGGGCGGGGAAAATGCTGACTACTGCCTGATAACAAACATTTTAAAAAGAGGAATAGAGGTGTACTGTTACCGTCGCTAAAAACAACAAAAGCAAACATCTTCTGGGCCAAATGGAGGAAGTGCAGTAGTTACCAGGTCTGACACCCTCACCCTGCTCCGCCTCTGGGAGACTGCGGGGAGTGTCTCCCTCATGCTTTGGCCCCTCCTGCCCTCCCACCTCCTCCCCAAGGTGTGTCCATATTTGTTCTTCAGAAACGTGCATTCTGGCCTTAACTCTGAAAGGCAAGACTGCTCTAGTGAAGGTGGGCACAGGGGTGGTGGGGGGCCACTTGTGTTGTTAGGTGCCATCAAGTCAATTACGACTCAGAGCGACCCTGTGTAAGAAGGTAACACTGCGGAGCCTGGCCATCCCACAGACCTCGCTATCCTGAGCTCTTGGGTGCAGCCACCATGTCAGCCTTTGTCGATGGAGGTCTTCCTCTTTTTGGCTGACCCTTCGCTTTACCGAACATGGTGTCCTTCTCCGGGCACTGGTCCCTCCTGATGATATGTCCAAAGTATGTGAATGGAGGTCTCACCATTCTCGCTTCTAGGGAGCATTCTGGTTGTACTGTTGAAGGCGGCGGGCACGGGGATGGCAGTCTGCCTCCCTAACGATTTACAGCCTGGGAAACCCGGGAGTAGCTATGAGTCGGAATCAACTTTATGGCAGTGAGTTTGGTGTTTGGGTTTGTCCTGTACAGAGGAGAGGCTATTCCTGCAGATCCAGCACTGGCTTTGTGATGCTTTTGTGCCCGGGTGAAGCACCATGTACCCTCACTTCTTCTGGGTTAGTTATCAGCCAGTGCAGATCTTTAGGCATTTGGTTTTTAGCTGAAAATGTAGGTGTCAGTTACATCACTGCATTTTTTTCCCCCAATGAACGAATTTAAAGCACAAACCCGTTTTGTTAGGTTACTTACCTTCTGCTTATTCTGGAAAAACACATGGCTCTGTTTCACTGCCGATTCACTGCCGATGGGATGCATCTCCCAGATCTGGGAAGGTTCCAGGCATTTGTTACAGTGTTGCAGGATTACAGGAGCACCTCCCATAGCTGTCGAAAGTGATGGACCTGTTTACAGGCAAAGGAGCCCCAATGGTGCAGTGGTTAAAAAGCTCAGCTGCAAACCCAGTGGTTGGCAGTTCAAACCCACCAGCCGCTCCTTGAGAGAAAAGACCCGGCAATCTTCCCCTGTAAAGATTTACAGCCTTGGAAACCCTAGGAGGCAGCTGTACTCTGTCCTATGGGGTCTCTGGGTCAGACTGGACTCAGCAGGGGGTTTGGGTGTGCAGACCGGATGTTAGATTTTAATGAGGCTGTTTTATCCCTCAGTTATTTGAATAACCCGTCTGGTGTGCAGATCTCTGGTACTCTCCCTTTCCTGTTCCCTTCTCCGTGAACCTCCTTTCCCCCGATCAAGGTATAGGATAATCCGCAGGGGTGCAGGTCCTTATGTTCCCCACCCCCAGTGCATCCACCCCCTGCACCTGCCCGTAGTCACCAAGCAACTCAGGGGCAGACACCTGGCTTCCCCCCAGCTCCTGCACTCATCAGCTCTGTCCCTGGGGCCAGTCACTGCATGCTGGCCCTCTGATTCTTCTCTAAGGCGGGGGGGGGGGACCGTAGTCAGTACCTCTGCAGGCAGTCAGGTCGGGAAGCCCGTGGACCCCTGCCCAGCATGGAGGAGACGTTCAGTAAACGTGGTGGTGGCAATTGTTATTATCAATGTGCATTTTTACTGTTATTATTGGTGAATTTAAGTATTAAATGAATTTTAAAAGACAGTTATTTTCTTCTCCTTTGAGAAACATCCTTGTGCTGAAATGCTTAATCTTTCTCATTGAGGGTCCTTAACACCTAACTCACCACTGACGCTTGGGGCCAGCTAACTTTGTTGCTGGTGGTTCAAACCCACCAGGCACGCCCCAGAAGGAAGATGGGGTAATCTACTCCCGTAGTGATACTGCCTTGGATCCCTAGGAGGGGTCTCTGTGAGTCTGACCCGACTCGATGGCAGTGAGTTTGGTTTTTGGTTTGTAACTCTGTATTGTGAGGGCTGCTCTGTGGTTTGTAGGGTGCTATAGCATCCCTGGCCTCTGCCCACTAGATGACCATAGCACCCCCTTCCCCTGGGAGAGCAACATTGCCCCCAGTTAAGAAGCACTGGGCTGTAGGGTCTGTTCCCTACTGAGCCGTCACCTGTCACAATTTGTGGCATTTCTAGTATGGAAAGACGTGATATGTTCCAAGCTGTCACACCCTGATTTGCAGGGATCGTGGCCTCGTTTTCCGTGTGAAAACTTGAGAAGAAAAAAGTGCCTACTTAATGGTAAGGGTAAAAATGTACACTTCCTGCTAATTTTCGTAAGTGTCGTATTTTTCTGAAGAGCCCTGGTGACACAGTGGCTGAGCACTTGACTGCTAACAGAAAGGTCTGCGGTTCAAACCCACCAGTGGCTCTATGGGAGAACGATGAGGTGGTCGGCTTCAACGCTCTGAGTGGAATCGTCCGGTCAGCAGTGGGTTTTATCCTTCTGCACCTGAATTGAATTTCCGGGTGGTAACTTCATTATAGTCAGTAGGAACCATCTCTTCCTCGCCATGAGGATCTCCATCCTGTAGTCACAATGTCCAGGCACCTGTCACAGTGGCTCCTTTCTGCCTTGTCAGGTACAACAGTGTTAGATCTGAAACATCAGGACTTTGGAATTTGATACAAATGATCACAAGGGTCTGACAAGATGACAAGCTCCTGGTTCTGTGGCTTCCATCCCAGACCAGGAAGAATGCGGCCTCTCTGATGAGAGCTGTAAAAAGGGCCGCAGAGCCTGGTGAATTCAGGGGCATTGTAATGTCCCAGAGTGGCAGTCCCAGTGCATTTAAGTAAGTGGCTCCAGGGAGCTGGGTCCAGGATGTGATTTTATCAGAAGAGGAAGAATGGGTAGGAGCTTGGTGGGTTCCAGTCTTCATTAAGCCAGTTCGCTTTTAAAAAACCTGTTGCTGTCCAGTTGATTGTGACCCATAGCGACCCTATAGGACAGAGCAGAACTGCCCCATAGCGTTTCCAAGGCTTAATCTTACAGAAGCACAGTGCCACCACATCCTTTTCCCTTGGAGCTTTGAACTGTCCACCTTTTGGTTCACAGCCAAGTACTTTAACCAGTGTGCCACCAGGGCTCCTTAATTAGCATGTTACTTAATTGTGTGCCAGTAAAGTAGTTTTTATCAATCCTTTTAAACAATCTTTTTACCTTGTTAACTATACTTGTATCCTTAACTGAAGTCTTTTATTCGTGGTACAGGCAATGGTAAAATGTATCCTGGTCTCTATGCATATTACCACAAATTTAGATTTGTTGTTGTTGTTGTTGTTATGTGCCATCGAGTCAAACCCGACTCATAGCGACCCCTTCTTGGGTTTCCGAGGCAGTATCACTACGGAAGTAGGATTGCCCAACCTTCCTTCCGAGGAGTGGCTGGTGGGTTTGAACCGCCAGCCTTCTGGTTAGCAGGCAAGTGTCTTAGCCACTATGCTACCAGAGCTCCCCAAATTTAGATTGTTGTTGTTGTTGTTATGTGCCGTCGAGTCAGCCCTGACTCATAGCGACCCCTCCTTGGGTTTCTGAGGCAGTATCACTACAGAAGTAGGATTGCCCAACCTTCCTTCCGAGGAGTGGCTAGTGGGTTTGAACCGCCAGCCTTCTGGTTAGCAGTCAAGTGCCTTAGCCACTACGCTACCAGAGCTCCCATATGGGTTAAAAAACAAAACAAAACAAACACCCCATTGCCATGCAGTCGATTCTGATGTTGTTAGGTGCCGTCGAGTCGGCGCTGACTCCTAGCGACCCCAGGTACAGCTGAATGAAACACTGCCCAGCCTGTGGCGTCTTCACAGTCCCTGCTGTACCTGAGCCCATCGTTTCAGCCACCATGCCCATCCGTCTCAGTGAGGACCTTCCCCTTTTGTGCTGACCCTCCACCTTACCAAGCATGACATCCTTCTCCAGGGAATGGTCCCTTCTGACAACATGACCAAAATAGGTGAGACGAAGTCTGGCCATTCTTGCTTCCAAGGAGCATTCTGGCTGCACTTACTGGAGGACAGATCTGTTAGTTCTTTTAGCAGTCCATGGTACTTTCAGCATTCTTTGCCAGCACCACAACTCAAAAGCATCAACTCTTCTTCGGTTATTCTGACTCATAGCAAGCCTATATGGTACAGTAGAACTGACCCCTAGGGTTTCCAAGGCTGTAATATTTATGGAAGCAGACTGCTTCATCTTCCTCCTGCAGAGTGGCTGGTGGGTTCCAACCAGTGACCTTTGGACTAGAAGCCCAGCTCTTTTTTCATTTTTTCAACCTTTCCCTTTACCCAAGTTAATATGAACCCAGCCTCTTGTTAATGGTTTACCCTCCCTTCCCCACCCCTCACTCCAGGTAACATCAAAGAATATTTCTTTCTGTGTGAAACCCTTTTCTTGAGATTTTGCAATAGTGGTCTCATACACTATTTGTCCTTTTGTGACTGACTAAACTTCCCTCAGCATAAAGGCCTCTGGTTATGAGGTGTTTTCACAGATTCATGGTTGTTCTTTAACATTGAGTGGAATGCCATTGTGTAGCCCCCCAGCTCCACAATGATGACACCACAGGCTACCTCTTTATGCCTGAAGTGGGCTGTGATTACTGCACCTGGGGAAGCAAAGCAAG